CAATCATCGCCCGATCAGTCTTCTTTCTGTTATTAGCAAGGTCTTTGATCAACAAATTCCTCACATCTCATCTTGAGTCAAATAAACTACTGTCAGACATTCAATACGGTTTTTGATACTCTCGCTCTACGGCCGACTTGCTAACTGCTGTAACTGAAAGATTTTATCGTGCATTAGATGGAGGCGGTGAGGCTAGGGCTATTGCTCTCGACATATCTAAAGCTTTCGACAAAGTTTAGCATGCTGGTCTTCTCCATAAGCTTGCTTCATATGGTGTTTCTGGGAAAGTTTTTGAGGTTATCAAATCATTTCTTTCTAACCGGTTTATTAAAGTTGTCCTTGAAGGCCAACACTCTTTTTTATTTCCAGTAACTTCTGGAGTTCCCCAAGGTTCCATCCTAGGCCCTGTTTTGTTTTTTATCTACATAAATGATCTTGCTGACAACCTTTCATCTAAAGTAGCTCTTTTTGCTGATGACTCAACTTTATACTCCTTTCTTGATCGCCTAGAACAAGTAGCTGATCTTGAATCCGATCTCACTTCAGTAATAGATTGGGGTTCACAGTGGCTTCTGAATTTCAATTCTAACAAACCCAGTTGTTTACTGCAAACAACTACCGTAATATGGTCAACATTCCTATATTAATGAAAGCCAATCCTCTTACTGAGTCCTCCTCTTTACGTCTTCTTGGATTATCACTTACTACTGACCTTTCATGGAAACCATATATACAATCGATTGCTAAATTAGCTTCTGCTAAGGTTGCTTCTCTTTATCGTGCTTGCCATTTCCTCACTTCCGATTCCCTTCTCTACCTCTACAAATCTCATATTCGTCCCAGTATGGAATACTGTTGTCATATTTGGGCTGGTTCTTCTGACAATTCACTTTCTCTTCTTGACAAGGTCCAAAAACGCATTGTAAATGTTGTTGGACCTATCTGCTAAGCTTGAGCCTCTCTCCCATCGTCGTAAAGTTGCATCTCTTTCTCTTTTCTACAGATACTATCATGGTCACTGCTCTAAGGAGTTATCATCTCTAGTTCCATCAACTAAAATTCATTCTCGTTTTACTCGTCATTCAGCTAAGTCTCATTCGTTTACTGTATCTGTCCCTGAATGCTCAAAAAACTTTTATTCATCTAGTTTTTTTTCCCTTTTTCACTTCAATCCTTTGGAACTCTCTCCCATCTTCATGTTTTCCTGACTCACACAACTTTCAACTTTTTTTTTTTAACTTCAACTTCAACAAGTCTTCTGTCAACTGTTTCCTTGCTCTATAACTATGTTCTTTTCTTTTCCTAGTAACTCCCAACTTAATAATGGTTGCTTGTAGCCTTGTTGGGAGTGAATGCAAATAAAATAAAAAAATAAATATTGGAAGCAATATACAAGAGCAAATGTAACTTTGTTTTAACCTCCTTTTATTCTTAACTTTTAATTTTGATAACAACCATATAAACAAGAAGTCTCTATAGCTTTATTGATAGTTTTACAACTCAGTTATAAATATGGTTTTGTCTTGCAGCAACAATAAATTTATGTTAGATGAGAATGTATATCCTAACTAAATCTAGTGTTCACATACTGTTTCAGCAATTAAAGTAATGAACATTTTTTATCCAATGATAGACACTTGTTTTCATAATTAACAAAACATGACAAGATGTTTTGAATTATTATATTCGAAAACAAAAATTTTTGTTTATTATTTTCTATAAAAGATCATTTTAGTTTTATAAATCAATTTTCTGACAGATTTAAGCTAACAAATTTAATGGGAATAATTTGTATGAAATGATCTTAATTTTTTGAAGTTGAAGTTGTGATCAGATCCAAAACTTATATTTAAGACACACACATGTCAATTTAAGACCTTTTTAAGGCACACACAAGCTAATTTAAGAAAAAAAGTAGTATAAATTTCCTCCAGAAACTCATTTGTTGAGTGAAATTTATTTAATGATTTAATAATGATTATTATATTATCACTACTATTATTATAATATCATTATTATTATACATAATAATTACTTAGTATAATTATATCTGCTCTATATATTGTTTCAAATTAAAAAAAAATAGTCTCAGTTAATCAATTGCTTAATTTATAACATAAATAAAAAACTCTTCCATATAAAAAGATCTGTCACAAAGCGAACTTAAATTTGGCTTACCTTTTGACAGATCTTTTTGCAGATCTGCACATTAAAAAAGAAAAAAGTCATAATTTAAAAACGATAATTTTGAGACAGATCATTTTGCAGATCTGCACAAATTAATAAAGAAAAGAGACATAATTTAAAAATTTTCCCTAAGAACTGGCTTGTTGCATTTAGCAGACAATGGAAGCATAGACTGATCAAGTTAATATTTATCATTTTAAAAAAGGCAGAGCAGAGAAACTTACACATCAAAAATTTTGTCAAAATTAAATTGCCTTGAAAGCTGACCAAGAATGCATGGATATATTCAATAACACTATTTCCCTGAGAATAATCTGAAACTGCATTAATAAACTCTAATACAAAAAAATAACTTTAAGCAAAAACTGGGGTGTATTTAGCTGCATAAGATTTAAAGGCTGAGACAAATAATTAAAAATAGGAATACAAAAAAAGCAAAAAGAAAGAAACAGCAGCATTGATTAAGCAGATAATATTCAGATAAAAGAAAGTGTTGTTGAATAACAAAAGCCAAAAAGAACAGTAACAAAGTTAGTGTTAAATAATGAAAACTGACAAAGAATCAATTTATTCCTCAGAAGATGAAAATTATGTACCTAGTTTAATTAAACATCATTGAAAAGTTTCATTGTAAAAAATGTGTAGAATAGCTGTTTAAAGTCAATGTATTTTATAAATTAAAATAAAAATCATAGCAATAACTTTTTTCATTTTATAAAATGAAACAAAACAATGATGTTTATGAGTAACTTTTTTTTTACAAGTTTAAAAATGCTGTTGGTTGTGTGTTTGTTTTTTAAAGTTTTAGGTTTTATACTGTTAAAAATAGTTGTATGTAATTTGTTAAAATCTTATCTGTAATTGTCAATATAAAAAATAATCAAGAAATAAATTCAAATCTCATTTAAAAGGTGAAATTATTCCTAAGATAAAATATTACAAAGTAATAGTTCAACAAATTACTACAAAGTAATAAATTAATACATTATACTGTAACAATACTATTATTAATAGTATATTTGAAATATTACGTTTATGTCGATTTATAGGATGCTGTGCAATTGGTAATGTAATTTTAACAGAGTTTGTAAAGTGAATTACAAGTGAAAAGTGGGGTAAAAAAATAACAACAAATAAGAGTAAAAAATAATTAAATATAAATATCAAGCTCTCAATGGTTTATTCATGAAAAAATTGTATTGAAATGAGGTATTAAAGTTAAATTATTTCATTCTTGTTATGTGCACTCAATTGGTGACAAATTTAATTTTTCACGTGGTAAAGCATAAGATGCTTGTCTAACTGGATAAACTAGTTATTAGTGCTAATCTTCATCCAAATGCCAGTAAACGCCATAGATGCGACTCTGAGGAGATGTTTATTACTCAACCACTACACAAGTTATTTCAGAATTGTAAACCGAACAATTTCATAAATAATGTCTTTCATAATCCAACCCATTCAAATGGATTAGGCCACTATGGATTCTCATAAAACGATTGTGACCAGCACTATGAAACCTGGTTAACAGGTCTAGAAATGCTATTGTGAAGCATCTTGTGTAGGCGGTATGGCATCTCCTAAACATTAGTTTTTTGAAAATAAGTCGTTTTTGGATTCATTTACACTACTGTAAGAACTTGTAGTATCATATTGTAGCAAAGCAAATCTTTCAATTAAGTGAAAAATACTATTGATATCATACTCCAAGGGGTAAATAGATGTTGATTGCAATGCATTAATGAGAAAATTTTCACATGATTTCCAAAAAAAGTTTTTTTTTTCAGAAAAAAATGCAACTTGATCATAACCTATCATTGTGTAAAGGTAAGCATTGATGTTTTAAACTAAGATATTTTACAATGACTCAAAAAAATAAACTAACTCTATATTTTAACAATATATTATAACAAAATATTCTATTAATTATTAATAATATTCTATAAATTTCTTGTAAAATTATGTACATTGCTATTTTCTTTAAAAAAATAATAGTAATCTATTTTTGCATGCTAACTTTGTAAAATTTTTCCACCTGAATTAATAACGTTTTAAGGGTTTGTAACTTTTTATCAGTTAACATTTTCTACATCTCAATCATGTTTAATCTAAAAATCTCTTACTCTTCCTTGTTTAGAATAGTATATTTCAGCTGTTCTTTTAAAGCCCCCTTCCTTTAATTCACTCTCTTTTAGATAAGGTCCATTGACATTGAGTCTACATCCGATTGTCATATGTTTGACATTGAGTCTACATCCGATTTTCATATGGTTGACATTGAGTCTACATCCGATAATCATATGGTTGACATTGAGTCTACATCCGATAATCATATGGTTGACATTATACATATGGTTGACAGTCTACATTCGATTGTATTATTGTTGAATTTCTTTCTCTTTTCTTTAAATAGTACTCTAGCCACTGCTTAAAATAAACTATGATTATTTGTTTATTTAACCAAAATTAAATCTTTTATATCTTTTAGATGAGTCCCATTATTTTAATGTTATTATTCCATCATGCTCAAATTACATCTATCCATTTAGTTTTTTTCCTCAGTGCTTTAGGATTTCTTTAGTACTTTAGAATTTCTTGTACTCATCTACTTATTTACTCAGTGCTTTAGAATTATTTCTTGTCTTTATGTTTCCCTGACAATTTACAGTATGAATCTTCTGCTAACTGTTTTCTTTACTATATTATGCATATATACATTCTGTATATGTGCGTAATGTAGTATTTAAAACAAATTTAAAAATATTTACGTGCCTAATATAGTATTTAAAAAAAAACTTTAAAAATTTATGTACCTAAAATCCATAGTAATCCAGTACTACCAATCGTTCTGTACCCAGGGAACAAATATCCTATGATAATTTTTTACTTTTTTAACACAAAAGAAGATTTTTTTAACTTTACAAAAAAGTTAGAAAAAATAATCAAATAAATAATCAAATATAACAAAAATAAAAATAATATATATATATATATATATATATATATATATATATATATATATATATATATATATATATATATATATATATATATATATATATATATATATATATACATATACATATATATATATATATATATACATATATATATATATATATAAATATATATATATATATATAAATATATATAAATATAAATAAATATATATATATATATATATATATATATATATATATATATATATATATATATATATTTATAATTTATAACTATAAATTAGTAGAAAATCACTTGATAAAACTTTTTTTCATTTAACACTGTGTTTCATCAATAAAGACTCATTAGAAAAGAAAAGATTAGATATTTCTGTTGTTAAATGAGTTAAATGTATTGTGTTAAATAAAAAAATTTTGTCAAGTGATTTTCTACTAATTTATATATATATATATATATATATATATATATATATATATATATATATATATATATATATATATATATATATATATATATATATATATATATATATATATATATACATATACATACACACATATATAAAAATGCAGCATTAGAATCACGGAAATGACATCATAAAAACAGGAAGTTGTTGGGGGCATAAGTATATACATCGACTGACAAACAGCCTGACTCGCAGCGGAGTGCTGCAAGATCAACTGAGGGTTTGGCATAAGGCAGCAATGTCAAAATATTTTTGAAATTTTGACATATTACAGTTATTGCATAAGTATATTACATGTATTTATGATATAATATGTATTTTTTTACAAATCTTTTCAAATTTTATCTAGGATTTATTTTATAAACACTTTCAATAGCGAAAATTTTTTTGCGCAAAAATAAATTAATAAATAAATATGTTTTTTTTAATATCAAATTTAATAGTGTAATGAAAAGTAGTTTCTATAAGCATTAAATTAACTACAGGGTGTAAACAAAGGAGTAAATTTGATACAGGATTTCTAACAAAATAGGGAAATTGTCAAAATAATTTTTAATCTTTCCCCTCCGTCCTCCCCCACCCCATCCCTGCCGAGAGTAAAATGTGTTTGTGGGGTCTTTTTATTTTTTTTTGTCTTTTTCTACTCTAAATAAAAAATACTGTAACATTTATTGAATATGATAAATATGAAATCAACACAAAATTAAATTGGCTTAAAATAATTTTTATATTATTTTAATCAGTATACATTAATTATTATTAAGAATTATATATTTGATTTGATTTTATCCATAATATATCATTGCTGCTTTCATTTTAATAGTATTTTTTTATATATATATATTTCATTTTCACTGGTGGGCATTCATTTACATGGATTTCTTTTAATACAAGTGAGTAGTAAAGTAAAAGAATCAATTTTTCTTGTTAAATAAATTTCTAGTATCTGTTAGTCATAAAACATTTTTTGTATTTAACTTATATTTCAGCAGCGTTTTTTTTTTTAAAATTAATCGAGAAAAAATAGTTGATAGATAACAAAAAGATTTTAGTCGATGCTAATAAGTAAAAAAATCATAATAGTTGACAAAAAAAGAAAAACAATAACTAAAAGACTTACCGTAACACTCACATTTATCAAAATTTCGTAAGTATCTGACACAAATGGTTTCTCAATATTTTGAATAATCTTATTTGACAAAGCAGATGTACTATTTGAAATAGAGTTTGCAGTAAGACTTAATAAGCAGGGCTTACAAAACAGTGTGAGGGGAGGAGGGGGATAATGAAGCACCTACCCACCACTACCACCTTTTTCTAAATGTGGTGGAGGTGGGTAGGTGCTTTGGGTCTTTTTTTTAAAGAAAATCCCAGGCATATAGGACTTTTTTTAAAAATTAACAATTGTGCCCCTCCATTTCGAAACCCATGTCATTGGTCATGATAAGTTATTTGAATTTTCAGCCAGGGATGTGGAGTCTGAGTTGGAGTTGCTGCATTTTCAGCGTCAGAGTCGTTAAACTAAATCGCATGTACAAAACATTACATTAACCTTATGTTTATAACAAACCTCAAACAATATTTCATAAATTAGTCAAAAAAAGAATTTTTAACTTATCGCATAATATTTTTTAAAGAATTCAAAGAATTTTTTTAAAGTTTGGTTTGGAGGTTGTGTCGGAGTTGGAGTTGTGCTTAAAAAACTATAACAACTGGAGTCAGAGTCGTTACTTTTAGGACCCCTGTTTTTTTGGCTAAAAACATATATATGGAGTGAACTATTATGTATAAGTTTTTATAAAATAAATTTAAAAGGGGTTTTAAAAGCTAAAATATTTGTTTGAAACTTATGAGAACCATTGGACAAAAAAAACTAACACTAAACTATAAACTTTAAATGAATAAATTAAATTGCAACATTTAAATATAAATGACAAAAACAAAGCTACTTAATTCAACTAAAAGTAATGTTTTTCAACTTCAATTTAAAAAAATAAAGTTCATACAATACTGAATTTATTAAAAATTTTAGAACAACTACAACGATTAGAAAATAAATTCACATAAAATTTTTGTCAGACAAAATGACCGATAGATGTCATTTTTTACCGGACAAGTGCTGGACAATGTCTGATGTACATCGCTTATTTTGAGCCCTGTATGCATATATATATATATATATATATATATATATATATATATATATATATATATATATATATATATATATATATATATATATATATATATATAAATATATATATATATATATATAAATATATAAATATATATAAATATATAAATATATATAAATATATATATATATATATATATATATAAATATATATATATATATATATATATATTTATTTTTATTTTAAATTCACCTCCTCAAGGCCGAGAAGGCCGCTACAGACGAGGAGGCTACTTATTTGTGGTTATAACCCTCTCTCAACTCTATAACTCCGAAACACGAACCTTGACGAGCAAGGCCGCTGCGCGGAGAAACGAGTTGAGCGCAGTACTACCAGGGACGTGGTGGGGATCTTATTAAATGTATATCCTTTCTATGTCATTTTTAATTTTACTATTGTCAGGTTAGTTTTAGGTTTTTTTAAAAATAATTGTTTTTAAGAATGCAAAAAAATTTTAAACTTTTTTTTAAAAAAAAAAAGTTATTTTTTTTAATTATTTGATAGACTACCTGCCCCAACCAAAACCTCAGTCTATATAGTGACACTTCCTTAGAGTAACAGGTTAAAAGATAGTCAATGTAGCAGCACTCACTTATAGCAGCAGCCTTTTAGATAGTTGACGTAGCAACACTCCCACTCACTTGTAGCAGTAAGCTATTAGATATATTTAGTAGTGGTGAAAACCATGGAGCTTTTATTCCTTCTTGTTGGTCATTGTTGACCAACAAGAAGAAATAAAAGCTTTTATTCCTGCCCGAATCCAGGAAGTTTTTCCCACTCAGTTTTTAACTGAGTGGAAAAAACATAAGCCTTGGTAGTGTCACAAAGAAAATCACAAAAAGATTCCCAGTCAGTTTTAGGTAGTAGTAAGTATTGCGATGATAGGGTGGTACCGAAAAGGAAGGACAAAATAAATGATTTAAAGTAATCATTTTATGGTCAGAACAACCTAAAGAAGAAAACGGAGAAACTAAGCTCAAGGTAGGATCAAAAACAAGACATAAATCAAGAAGTAAATGTAAATGATTATGGTAGTCAGGAAAACCAGTCACAAAGTTAACTATCAGAGTAAGAGATCAAGACACACAGAGTCAGTGGCAGTCCAAGGGTCAGTGGCAGTGCCAGCGTCAGTGACACCAGAGCCAAGCCATTTAGTGTGATGAGCATTAAACTCACCAATAACAATATATTAGCAAATGGGTAAAGAGAGAGAGCATGGTCAATACGATAAGAAATTACATCTAAAAGAGTGCAGATTTGGGAGAAAGGAGAACAATAAACAACAAAGAGACAGTTGATAAAGTGAAGAGGTGCTAAGCAGAAACACATAAAAGAATGGTCAAAGAATTCAAACTTGAAATCACATAATCAACTAATAAGTGGATTGATGCGTATGTATCAATCAACCTATAAGTACGCATGTAACGCTTGATGTTTTAGCGAATCAAAGGATACAACATAATAGGTATCCTTTGATTTTTATTTTTTAAATTGAGATCACTTTTATTTAATAAATTGAGATCACAAGAAGGAAGAATTTGGTAATTTAACAAGAGGTAAAATTTAACATATAGAAAGTTGCTTTGAAACATGAATATTAGTAAGAGATATTAAAACAGTTAGGTGGTCTGGATGATTTTTAATGGTTAATATTTTAATTTATAATTAATGTTTTTATTTTTAATATATATATACAAATACATACATATATATATATATATTATATATATATATATATATATATATATATATATATATATATATATATATATATATATATATATATATATATATATATATATATATATACATATATTTATATACATATATATACATATATATATATATATATATATATATATATATATATATATATATATATATATATATATATATATATATGTATATATATACATATATACACATATACATATATATATATATATATATATACATATATATATATATATATATATATATGTATATGTGTATATATATATATATATATATATATATATATATATATATATATATATATATTTATGCATTATATAAATACATATATATATATAAATATATATATGTATACATATATATATATATATATATATATATATATATATATATATATATATATATATATATATATATATATATATATATATTTATGCATTATATAAAAACATATATATATATAAATATATATGTGTATACATATATATATATATATATATATATATATATATATATATATATATATATATATATATATATATATATATATATACAAATATCATTCAGGTAATAGTTGTCAGCTGAAGATCTATTCTACAAGTAGAAAGTCGAGGAAAAGTTGGTTGTGTAACCTGTAAGGAAGCAGGCAAAGAAATGATTTATCTGTCAAACGAAAGAAAATTACCTGATAAATCAACTACATTAGTTAAATATGATCTCTTATCTAATGATAGTGATATAGTGTTAGATAAGTCTGAAGTTGTAATTTAATCTTATTCTATAAACTCATTCCAAATAGGCTAAAATTACCAAAAAGAATATTTTTGTTGAGGAACAGTTATGAGGAAATGCAAGCAAAACTTGTGATTGGAACAGAAGTGAATATCTATAAGTCAGGCTGGAGAGATAACATGAAACTCTTGCATCATTTGACTTTAGTATTCAAATCCTATTAAGAAAAAGGATATTAACCACTTTTCAAGAGCCATTCTTGCCATTCTTGCTTTTGTTTTTATATCTAAAACAGTGCAGCATTACTGAAAACCTAAAGATTTTTATTCTAAGACGGAGCAAAGTATTGATTTGCTGAATAAATTTACAACAAATAAGACTACAGTAACTTGTCACAAATACAGAAACCTACAAGAAGAGGTTTCAGGTATTATTCAGTATATTATAGAAAAACAGGACACAGAAACCATTAGCACTTGAGACACCAAGAAGCAACTAGTGAACGAAACATGCAATAAAAGTGATGCAGGAGTTGTATTCAGTCTGCAGAAAAAAAGACGAATTACTGTCTAAATTTTTTTAAAGTATTAAACAGTAATGTACTGATAAACATTAATCATAAATATAGAGAATACTAAGCAAATGCTATGCCATAGTATCCATAATAGTTGGCTACTAGACATGTAATATTAATTAATGTACATTGTTAAGTTATAACACACTATTTAATATTTTGATTTGGAGGTAAACTATTTTTAAAATAAATTGAAAAATTTCCCACCATTGTGTACCACCCATCACAAAAAAAGTACTATAAATAAAAGAGTTTGTTTACATATTATGTAGTATGTTATTTTGCCAGATGCAAATGAATCAACCAATCAACAAATATCTTTTATTTGCAATTATTAAAAAATGTTGAAATAACATTCATCATAATGTTCTTATTAGTTTAGTTGATTCAATGCTTCATTGTTGTGATGCTGTTTTAAAAACAAAGAGATATGCCACCAAGTACTGTCTTAATAAAAGTTATTGAAAAGTTTGTAATAAATTTTTAAATTTTAATTAACTTAAGTTGTTTCTTAACTTGTACTTAATAAACTATATAATTATAAATAACATTTTGAAAATGTTGAAACTTTTACTAAACACACATACACACTCATATAAATTACACAAACATATAAACTTAACTAAAAAAAAAGATTTTCTAAATCATTTAAAACAATTTTGACATTTAATGTCAAAAATTTTTAAATTTTTAAATTCTTAATTTCTTTCCCAGGAAACGTATGTAGTTTTTCGTCTTGTATGTCCTCGAATAAGTATTTTAATTTAGATAACTTAGTCACGACCGTTTGAAAGTTTTATTGTATGCGTTGCTGAAAAAATGTTTTAAAAACAATGAAAGCAAAATTACAAAAGTTTTAAACATTAAAAAAAATGATTTTTCTATATTTTATTTGTTTGTTTTTCTCAAAGAAGAAATTGTCATCTGTTTGTAAAATATATTTGTATAACTTTAATGTAACGAGTACATATCAAGAGTTGAAAATTAAGCTATCGAGATTTGCTTACTCTGAAAAATATCTGGTCTTTAAAAAATGTTATTACTTTTATATAGCACTTAATACTTTTAAGGTTCATTCTTTGCTCAAACAACATTAGTAATTCCAAGCATTAATTAAAGAAGAAAAGCATCTAGAATAAAGTGGATATTAAAATATTATTAAAAACTTCAGGAGCTTTTACAAATCACTTTAACAACTTTATAAAAACACACTTTATAAAAAGTGTAGCAACAATAAAAACAATACTAAATTTTATTGGTTGATTTTAAAATTAACTTGCATTTTTACAGACCATTAGTAACCTTATATATAATGCTTCAAACTTTTTATACATTACGTTTTTATAAAGTTGTTTGTTATGCTTTATAAAAAGGTTACTAAAGTTTTGAATATTATTAGAATATCCACTCTATTTTTCTAGATGCTTTTTTACTTCAATAAAAATTTAAGATTACTTATGTTGTTTGAACAAAGAATGAGTTATAAAAGTAATAACACTATTATAGTGTTATTACTTTTATACAATAGGTAACATAGTAATAACACTATTATAGTGTTATTACTTTTATACAATAGGTAACATAGTAATAACACTATTATAGTGTTATTACTTTTATACAATAGGTAACATAGTAATAACACTATTATAGTGTTATTACTTTTATACAATAGGTAACATAGTAATAACACTATTATAGTGTTATTACTTTTATACAATAGGTAACATAGTAATAACACTATTATAGTGTTATTACTTTTATACAATAGGTAACATAGTAATAACACTATTATAGTGTTATTACTTTTATACAATAGGTAACATAGTAATAACACTATTATAGTGTTATTACTTTTATACAATAGGTAACATAGTAATAACACTATTATAGTGTTATTACTTTTATACAATAGGTAACATAGTAATAACACTATTATAGTGTTATTACTTTTATACAATAGGTAACATAGTAATAACACTATTATAGTGTTATTACTTTTATACAATAGGTAACATAGTAATAACACTATTATAGTGTTATTACTTTTATACAATAGGTAACATAGTAATAACACTATTATAGTGTTATTACTTTTATACAATAGGTAACATAGTAATAACACTATTATAGTGTTATTACTTTTATACAATAGGTAACATAGTAATAACACTATTATAGTGTTATTACTTTTATACAATAGGTAACATAGTAATAACACTATTATAGTGTTATTACTTTTATACAATAGGTAACATAGTAATAACACTATTATAGTGTTATTACTTTTGTACAATAGGTAACATAGTAATAACACTATTATAGTGTTATTACTTTTGTACAATAGGTAACATAGTAATAACACTATTATAGTGTTATTACTTTTATAATGCAGTTAGTTTCTAGACTGTTATTACTTTTGCAGTTGTAAATTTATTTTTTTATTTTTTATAATTTTTTTGTTAATAAATATAAGTTGATTTGCTCCTTGAAAAGATCACTTTTGAAGATATTTTTCCATTTTTGCATTTTGTGATTGCTTAATTCAACCTTTGTTGAATATAAACTTTAATATTATATTATTATTATTATATTAATTCCATTAATATTATAAAAATATATTTTACAAACACATTGCAATTTATATTCTCGCTTTTCTCTTTTAAAAAAAGTTAAATAAAGAAAAATCATTCTTTTTATTGTAGACTTTTATCAGACTTTTTAATGCAGACTAAAACTGTTTTTATTTTGCATCGCCTTAACTAATTTGTTGCTAAATGTAACAACCATTCTAAATAAACAAAAATTAAAACAGCTTGCAAATTATTTAAATTATTAATTTATTTTAATTTTTTTTTATTTCAATTTCTTTTTATTTCCTGTTTTGTTAGTTTTGTATTTTTTGTTTTCAAAACATTTTCCACATTGATTATTAGATTATAAAACTTGCAAACGGCTATGACCAATTTGTCTAAAACAAACCTGGAAAATATTCTTATTGAACACCTGTATGTTTATCTAAATTAACTTACCAAAAATAGACAACCAAGGTAAAGATTCATTTGAAGGATTTAGGTTAACAAGAAACTTTAATAAACTATTTTGGCTTTTATTGTTAGTTAATCCACAAATCATTGATAAACAACTTCTTAGCTTTTCATTAGCCATAATTTTTTTACGACTTAAACAATTATATGCATATACAGATACACAAAATTCCATTATTGTCAAATGCGCAAATTGATAATAACAGCCTACATTTGTCTCAACTTTTTCGATAAATCCCAAAAGATTACCATCATTTTGATCAAAGTCGCTGATAAAATATTCAATATCTTTTTTGGAAAATATTATATTATTTTTAATAAACAACTCATAAGCAATTTTACAAATATTTAAAATATATCTTTTATTAAAACTGTCTTCCATTATCTCATATATCAATTTATCATTTTTCATGATGTGTTTTTGCAAAAAGTATAAAAAAATATTTGCATACAAATCAGTCATAGTTAAGAATGAATTTGTATATATTTTATTTGAATCACTAATAATTTTACACATTGAAGATAAATAAAATGGAACAGATGCCATGGCTTTTGCAATAGGCGAATCCTTTAAAGTTGTTTTTATAACTTCTTTTTTTTCCTCTTTAACATGGTTTTCTATATAATTGTTGATTCCATTTTCATTAAAACCCATTATTTGAATAATTGACTTATCACTATGCTCTGTATATTTACTTTGGTATTGATCAATTGCATAAACTCTACCAGCAATTACATGTTTATATTTTTTAATATCTGTTAAAGTATTAACAACTGGGTAGTTAAAACTTGGATTTAATAATTCATTGAAATATATAAACTCATCTAATCCGTCAATGATAAACAGTGCAGTATGATTACTAATATTAAAATCGTTTAAAATATCATTGTAGAAAACATTTAATAAATCATTAATATTAGAAATATTTTGATGTTGATTAAGTCTCCTGCATTCTAAATAAAAAACAAGTTCAACATTTTTCCAAATTAAATTATTTGACCAATCAAGTAAACATTTTCTGAGCAACCATGTTTTCCCAATACCAGCTATTCCAGATATTAGTATTACTGATTTTTCTTTCATAAATATTTCACTATATGGAATTGGTGTATAACTCTTTTGCTTTTCAAGAAATTCTTTTCGTTCAACACTGAAAACAAAATCCAATTGAGTATTCACTGCATCAACAATACAAAGATCAACAAAAGTATTTATCAGATCAACATTTGCAGGTGTTTTTAGGTGTGGTTGAACTTCATTTATTTTCCCATAATTTACAAGATAATAGTTTTTCAGTGCTGCGCAAATCTCTGATATATCTAAATATAAATCATATGTCATCATCATCATCATCATCATCATCATCATCATCATCATCATCATCATCATCATCATCATCATCATCATCATCATCATCATCATCATCATCATCATCATCATCATCATCATCATCATCATCATCATCATCATCATCATCATCATCATCATCATCATCATCATCATCATCATCATCATCATCATCATCATCATCATCATCATCAACATCATCATCATCAACATCATCATCATCATCATCATTGATATAATATAACTACCTTTCTTGACATAAATTTTGCTAGCAATATCAGGTGTATTTGAAGAATCTAAATAAAAGTTATATAAAAATATTACTTTTGACTTCTCATTTAAGGTTATAGTTAGAAAATTTATGGATGATGATGAAGTGGAAAATTCTAACGAAGAATCCTAGTTCCGAAAAGAATGGGAGCTTTTATTCCTTCTCATCAGTTCCAAGTCAAGTCTCATTTTACACCATGATATGATCTTCATGATCATCCTGTTACTGGTAACATGTAACCCAGTGCAACCTGTTCCATGTTCTGCTGCCTTGCAAGATTTGCTTTCTAAGCAAAGGCTAGAAGGAGTGTTCTTCCTGTCATCAGTACTATCTTATATCAGTCATGTCTATAGTAATTTTTTTTTTTTTTTTTTTTCATATAGTTGGAGGTGTCTTAGTTACTGTATTAGCTCACCTGTAATCTATGTTATATGTATGCTTGCGTTCTGTCTGAACCTCTGGCGCGGTGTTCGCTCACCCGTAAGTTACTTTATGTTCTTTATGTATGTCTGTGTTCTGTCTGAACCTCTGGCGCGGTGTTCGCTCACCCGTAAGTTATTTTATGTTTTTTATGTTTTTTTAATTATGTTTGTATTCTGTCTGAACCTCTGGCAGGGTGTTCGCTCACCCGTAAGTTACTTTATGTTTTTTATGTATGTTTGTGTTCTGTCTGAACCTCTGGCACGGTGTTGACTCGCCCGTAAGTTGATTTATGTTTGTTTGTGTTCTGTTTATACTCTAATGCAGCGTGAGCTCAGTAACTAACTACATACTCCAACTACAAAACCTACACTCAACTTAGACTCCTGTATTTTGTTAGATGCAGTGTTTTTCCTAATGCACTTCCAAAATATCATGCCTGGTTTTCTCAAAGTACTGTTGCTGGAAGTAACTCCTTTTAACAACTCCAGGTCAGGTCAGGATAATCGAGATCAATCTTGCTACTGGTATCACAAAACCCAGTACCACCTGCCACAAGCCCTGCTGCCTTGCAGAGTGTGCTCTTTTTAGGCAAATGCTAAGAGAAATAAACTCCGACTAAAAATTCCCCTGCCTTGGGGCTCTTGGTTGAGTAAAGGCTAGAGATGGTGTCTTGATAAAAATACTCATCTTGGGCAGATGTTAACTGCATCCAGCTACTGTCTTGTAAAAGGCCTCCTAGGCAAAGACTTTAGGGGTAAGCAGAAAAATTCTGCTAACCAGCCTCGAACCCCTAATTCATCTATTAGGCTGGCGTAGATGTAACCTGAGTTACATTGTTTCCTGCCTAGGATGATGAATGCTGGATCTCCTTGACTCTACTCATAGAATTTTGCTTATGCCTCCTTGATAATGGCTATGCAACTCTTCCTGTTATCTCCATATGAGGGTACAGCTCTGAAACTCAGTTTAATGGTTCTGAGGCCTGCAGGTAGTAATGTTTCCTGAACTCTGTGGTAGCTCTCAGAGAGGCTGATTCCATCAACAGCTGCAAAATATCAGAGTATTAACAGTGCCATGTTGCACATGGATGGTGTCCCTGTTAATGCTTTTGGTGTGCATTGTCAAGGCCACATAAGAAGCCCTTTGTCACGGCTTAGGGTTAATTAACAGGACTGAGACAACTGTTTAGCTCATTGATTAGGAGGCTGTGCTCTATCTATGAATGAGTCAAGTTCTCCTTAAACCCAAATCATGACCAAAGTAACCAAAAATTTAAAACCTAAAAAACCATCCCCACCACCTAAATACTTTAATATATCTTTTACAAATATTCGCGGTCTACGAAGCAACTTTCCATCAGTTGAGTCTTACCTCCTGCAAAATTCACCAGACTTGCTTGCATTTAGTGAAACAAATTTAAATTCTGCAAATCCTTCTTCAGATGTCAGTGTTGATAGGTACTATCCTTTGATTCAGAATGACTTAAATAGTCACATGCTAGGTTTAGGGGTATACATACGCATTAATTCCCCTATTTGTCGTGAAATCAGGTTCGAATCCTTTGACCATTCTTTTATGCGCTTTCGCCTAGCACCTCTTCACTCTATTACCTTTCTCTTTGTTCTCTATCGTTCTCCTTCGTCCCATGATAGTACTCTCTTAGATGTTATCTCTGATCAAATTGACCATGCCCTCTCTCTTTACCCCTCTGCCAACATTGTTGTTGTTGGTGATTTTTATGCCCATCACACTGAATGGCTTGGCTCTAACACCACTGATCCTGCTGGCACTAAAGCTTTTAACTTCTGCAATTCTCAATCTCTTACTCAGATAGTTAACTTTGTGACTCGTTTTCCTGACAACCCTAATCATTTACTTTCACTCCTTGACTTATGTCTTGTCTCTGACCCTAGCTTATGTTCAGTTTCCCCCTTTTCTCCCTTAGATGGTTTTGACCGTGCAATGATCTCTATAAATCTTTCTTCTCGTACTTCTTTTTTGGGCTCACCTTATCATCGCACCACCTACTACTACCCTAAAGCTGACTGGGATTTTCTTCGTGATGGTCCTTGGGCTGATGTTTTTTCTCTCTCAGCTGATAAATGCGCCTCCTACGTAAACTCCTGGATTCAAGCTGGAATGGAAGCTTTTATTCCTTCGCGTCGGTTTCAAGTCACGCTTCATTCTACTCCATGGTTTTCTCCTTCTTATGCGGCTGCTGTATCCAATCGTAATCATTTTTTTCATCTTAAATGAAATAGAATTTTCATCTAGAATGTCCATAAGATTCCACTCTTGAATCTTATGGACATTCTCTTCCTTCCATTCCAGTCAAACAAGTTGACCCATTGTTAGACATTCAAATCACTCCCGCTTCTGTTGCAAAAGTCATATCTCAATTAAACTCGTCTACAGCTTGTGGTCCAGACAACATTCCTGTCACAGTCTTGCAGAATTGTTCTCCAGAACTTTCTTCAATTCTCTCTAAACTATTTAACAAGTGTTTGACTGAGTCTTGTTTTCCTGCTTGTTGGAAAATGGCATCTGTGGTTCCAATATTCAAAAACTCTGAAGAAAATTATGACCCCTCTAATTACCGTCCGATCAGTCTTCTTTCTGTTATTAGCAAGGTCTTTGAGTCTTTGATCAACAAATTCCTCACATCTCATCTTGAGTCAAATAAATCACTGTCAGACAATCAATACCGTTTTCAATCCTCTCGCTCTACGGCCGACTTGCTAACTGCTGTAACTGAAAGATGCTCTCAACATATCTAAAGCTTTTGACAAAGTTTGACATGCTGGTCTTCTCCATAAGCTTGCTTCATATGGTGTTTCTGGGAAAGTTTTTAAGATTATCAAATCATTTCTTTCTGACCGGTATATTAAAGTCATCCTTGAAGGCCAACACTCTTCTTTATTTTCAGTAACTTCTGGGGTTCCCCAAGGCTCCATCCTGGGCCCTGTTTTGTTTTTTATTCACATAAATGATCTTCCTGACAACCTTTTGTCTAAAATAGCTCTTTTTGCTGATGACTCAACTTTATACTCCTGTTTTGACAAAAAGTCTTCTCTTTTTGATCGCCTAGAACAAGCAGCTGATCTTGAATCCGATCTCACATCAGTAATAGATTGGGGTTCACAGTGGCTTGTGAATTTCAACTCTAAAAAAACCCAGTTGCTTACTGCAAACAACTACCGTAATATGGTCAACATTCCTATATTAATGAATTGCAATCTTCTTACTGAGTCCTCCTCTTTACGTCTTCTTGGATTATCGCTTACTACTGACCTTTCATGGAAACCATATATACAATCGATTGCTAAATTAGCTTCTGCTAAGGTTGCTTCTCTTTATCGTGCTTGCCATTTTCTTACTTCTGATTCCATTCTCTACCTCTACAAATCTCTTATTCGTCATACTTGGGCTGGTTCTTCTAACGAATCACTTTCTTTTCTTGACAAGGTCCAAAATCGCATTGTAAATGTTGTTGGACCTGGACTATCTGCTAAGCTTGAACCTCTTTCCAATCGTCGTAAAGTTGCATCTCTTTCTCTTTTCTACAAATACTATCATGGTCACTGCTCAAAAGAGTTATCATCTCTAGTTCCATCAACTAAAACTCATTCTCGTTTTACTCGTCATTCAGCTAAGTCTCATTTGTTTACTGTATCTGTCCCTGCATGCTCTAAAAACTTTTATTCATCTAGTTTTTTTCCCCGCACTTCAATCCTTTGGAACTCTCTTCCATCTTTATGTTTTCCTAACTCTTACAACCTTCAACTTTTCAAGTCTTCTGTCAACCGTTTCCTTGCTCTATAACTTTGTTCTTTTTTTTCCTAGTAACTCCCAACTTAATAGTGGTTGCTTGCAGCCTTGTTGGGAGTGAATGCAAATAAAAAAAGAAAAAAAAAAAATATTTATCACAAGGCCTGCACATTGATTGATTGGTATATATATATATATATATATATATATATATATATATATATATATATATATATATATATATATATATATATATATATATTTATATATTTACTTGATTTTTGATGTCATAAAATTCTTTTTATTTGCTTTTTATATATATCGACATTAACTGCACCAATTTAGTTAATTACAGCAAAACTACTTGAAATTATATATATATTGTTGTTTTGATTATTTGATAATAATCAACTCTTTTTCGATTTGAGAGTGATCAATATAAAGTGAAATAATCACAAAATAGATCAATAAATAAATAAATAAAAGGTTATATGAGAAAAAACAACTTTTTTACGGTTTAGCTTAAAAAAGTTGATTTTTCTCATCTAACCATTTATTTTTTATATATATATATATATATATATATATATATATATATATATATATATATATATATATATATATTATATATATATATATATATATTTATATTTATATATATGTATATATACCAATTAATCAATGTGCAGGCCTTGTGATGAATAAATACTGCGCGACGCCTAAGCACGACGTGATTTTTGACGTCATAAAATTCTTTTCATTTGCTTTTCATATTTTCATAAAATGTTTTCTCGAAATTACTCTTTAAATACATCAAACAGTTAATAAATATTT